TGCGATGACAAGGAGGGTTGTACTCACGCCTGGAATACCGCCTGGTGGGGACAGTATGACAGGCCCGGTGTTGCAAAGGCTATCTTACAGCTTCAGAAACCACTGCCGGGGCGAGAAGTTGTAGAGCGCGTCCAGGCTATCAATGTTGAAGGGATGACTTTCTCTTGTAAGAGGCAGACGCTCGAGAACCTCCAGAAGGAACATGTTAAGGGGATGTTCTCAGCAGAAGATAGGCTGATACAAAATGTAATTGACCATATCTACAAACATCTCGAACAGTCAATGTAATATCCATTGTACACATCGGCACTTAGACCGCCTCCAAGTGAGCTGCGCGCGATTTTCTAAGGTGCTGCGTGCTAGTCTTACTGTGCGCTGCGTGCTAGTCTGAGAGGTGCGCTGTGCTCCCACGGATGCGCTGCGCAGAGCACCGAGCGCGCTGCGAGGAATAAAAGTGCAAACGGAACGTCATAGAGGAGAAATAGCTCACCTTAGCAGTGAACCGAGCCTGGGCGAGCGCGCACTGCTCGAACCCTGCGCCATCGATCTTAAACGGAGTCTGCAGCGCGCTACTCACCATCACGACCCCTCCACTCGTAAAGAAAATAAAGACACAAGCAGCACTCACACCCTGTCGCCCACCGCGAACCCCTCCACGCCCTCTCCTACCTTCTCCACCGTGCCAGCCGCGTCCGACCCCAGGATGATAGGGTACCCTTCGAAGAACCCCTCCAATCCGTACTTGCGTATCTTGTATTCGAGAGGATTAAGCAAGACCGCCGGGACCTTCACGAGCAGGTCCCCCGTGCCCGGGGTGGGTATGGGCCGGCCGCGCACCTCGAACGCGCCCTGCTTTTCGAGGAGGAAGAGTTGGTCATGGTGCGTGCGACGGGAGCGCAGAGCGCCGTGGTTGCATGTCAGAGCTCGGGACGAAGACGTGCGTGAGCCTCGCTGGATACAGTCGCTTGCTAAAATGGGCGGCCACGCGTTATTCGTGCCTATAACGACATAGCAGGCGACGAGCAGAGCGGGAGGATGGGGAAACCTGAGCGCCTGGGATTAGTCCGAGAGCGTCGGGGATGGCCCTTCTAGATTTGGTAGTCCTCCTTCCATACATGGTCGCCATGGATGCGCCTTGCAGTGGTTGTGCATATGGACTCCCCATCCCTGCACTTCAGATGACCTCTGCAGACTATACTCAGCCAACGCGATACTCAAGAATAAGAAAATATTTGATCGGAGTTCAGAGTGTGGCGACATCTTGAATCCCGCACAGGGAACGACTTCGGGGTCAAAGGAGAGGATTGCACGGGAGCTAGGTATAGTGGTCCGCTGTGATGAACAGACTCACGTTAGTCGTTGGAACTCGGGAAGCTCCGTTTGGCGTCGACAACTTACCCCTCCTTTGTGTGATGGGGCCGATTAGTGTATAATATAATTTCTGTATAGGTGCTTGCTAACCTTCATAATATTGTAGAGAGTACCAGCATTGTGATAAATATCAAGTGTACTTGAAGAGCCTTGGATCTCAGTGCAGGCGGGGTAGCCAAACATAATAAGTAGAGGTTTAGCAGGCCAGCTGAATATTACCATCCTGCGCAGTCCGAGAGACATCCCGTCTCCCGGAATGCGGAAGATGGGTGTCCGTTAATCAATGATGCACGAAGTAATCATTTTAGCTGAATCTCTTTCATGTTTATCAATTGAAGGCTGGATGCCCCCAAACCCCCAATACATACCTGGCTGCTCCTTGACTCTGACTGTAGCATGTAGGCATTGAGGCACATTGAGATGCAATGCAGTACTGAACATTTACTGCAATATTGTATGTTGAAATATTCCTAGCAAACAGAAGACAAGCGTGTTTGCCCCGAGCGGTCGGTTGCCCGAAGGGCAATCGCATATGGTACATCGAGTAGATACAACAAATATATAAGATTTTCTTATCATCTTATCAGTCAGGCCCGCCAGCGGCGGTCCCCCCTGACCACGCGCAACACGGCGCGAGCTCGCAAGCTCCGAAATCCAAAATTGTATTGCACAAATGTGCATTCTCTTTGCACAAATAATTTCTTTCTAGTTGTATGGAACCCGAGACAATTCTAAGTCCGCGTAGCAGTACTAGTGGCACTGAAGCAAAACATGGGACGCCGGAACTTGCCGGTTGGTCGAAAAGTGCGACCGTACGTATTGCGGGTTTGGCAGAACCCCTCGAAGGAGGGGCACTGACAAGAGATGAAATGCCAGATTGAAGCTAAGGTCTGAAACCTTTGCTATCTTGGCTTATATATTGCAAGATATCCAAATATACTTATACATGTGTTAATAGTATGGTTTACATGTGTATTTAATAGAATGCAGAAACCAGCCGTTATTAATGTAAAACGGTTTATGGGTGGTGAGGTAGCAATGCATGGATAATAAGTGATCGTGAAGAATTTGAGAATGAGATGTGCATGGTTGTGGTGTCTTTTGCGGTTCTATGTGCATGTGTTAAACACATGTGATTGTGAAAGGGTGTTTTGATCGTAACATTACCCCCTCCTGTAGAATCGCGTCCTCGTGATCAGTGTTGTGCACCTCCACGTCTGACAACTTCTAATTCTATGATCCCTCCCAGGCTTGCTCTGCGTCGACTGGTTATTTCAAGGGAGTTGTGGGGATTTTGGCGATGGATGTGGATAATAAATATGATGCTGAGTCCAATGACTGTGGTGACTAGCGCGGCAAGTATAGTGGATAGGACAATGTTAGGGGTTGAGAGTACAAGCATGGTGTGGTGATGGTTTGTGATGGATGTTCGTTGACGACATGCATCCCGAAGAACAGTTTGGCTATTTCCGATTGCGTCATTGATGGTAAATCGGTAGTCCTTTTTGTTCTAGTCATCCATCGCTCATAGGTTTTCATCCACTTGTCCCATTCGTCGTTATGTACTATTTCTTTTTCTTTTTCTGATAGTCTTACATTCCATAGTGCACCAGGCACCATGATTGTGGGCATTCTTGCCGCATCAGGGTTCTGCCTATGGAATTCGTCAATCAAGCTTTTGTATTGCCTGATTAAGCTTGATTGTGATTCCCACATGTCTTCTGATCTCGGTTTGTCTTCCCATCATACTAAATATTGTAATCCGCCACTTTGTACTCTTGAATCTAGGATTTTCTCCACTTTTGCTTCAATGGCAATAATGTTAGGAACGGTTTTCGTTGGTTTCTGATTAGGGAATTCTTGTGCATAATAGGGTGTAAGGAGTACTTCATTAAATATGGGATGGATCTTCCATGCTTTGGGTAGCTTGAGCTTATAAGCACTGTTTCCGACCTTTTTGACAATTTTGAATGGTCCGTATCATTTATCGTCAAGTTTTTTGTTTGGTCGATCCATACTTATGTTCGTTGCTTCAAGCCAGACCTTGTCCCCTTCCCTATAATTTACCGAGTCTCGTTTCTTGTTATCCCATTTCTCCTTCATATACTCCTTGGTAAGCTTGAGAGCGGCCGATGCCTCTTCTTGCAACTTCTACATCCTTGTGACGAATTGGTCTGCTTGTTCGCTCTTTGCTTCTTTCCGAGTTTCTACTCCAGTGTAGGGATGATGTCCATGTGTTAAATAGAATGGCGAATATCCAGTTGCTGAATGTTCCCGGTTGCGGTAGATGAACTCGCAGATGGGTAACCATTCAGGCCAATCGGTCTGTCAATAATTTACAAACATTCTTAAATAATTTTCTATTTCCTGATTTATTCGTTTGGTCTGTCCATCGGTTTGAGGATGGTACGCAGTGCTTGGGTTTCCTTGTATTCCCAGCTTCTTGTACACATCTTTGATGAATTGCGAGACGAATTGGGGACCTCTGTCAGATGTGATACGTTTGGAAAGTCCATGCTTTGACCAGACACGTTTGACGTAATTATTCGCCCAGCCCTCTGAAGTCAGCTCCTCTGTGGTTGGCACTGCGACGAAGTCTTTGGACTTCATATCGACTATCACAAGTATGGCATTATATCCTTGTGATGGCGGTAAGTCTACAGATATATATTGCCAGTTTCTCTCAGGAATAGGATTATGGTGTAGAGGAGCAGCCTTCTGTTGATGATTTATTTTTGTCTTTTGGCATATATCACATCCTTTTACATAGGCTTTTACGTCTTTCTTGATGGTATGCCAACAGTAAGACCTATAAATTAATTCCTGCATTTTCATCTGTCCAGGATGTCCGGCAGAAATTGAATCGTGATGTGAAGCAATAATTAAACCTCTGAGCAGTTTGTCATTGGGAATAATGATTCGCCCCTTTCTCCAGATCAGGCCGTCCTCAGTCTGAGAGAAGTCCTTGTCTTTTTGTAATATTTTCGCTTTTATGGATTCTTCATAATTATTGACATGGGATAATATTTTGGTTTTTAATGCTTCGGTGCCTAGCACTTCCGCGTTTCTGAACCAATGGGGTTTTAATAAAATGATATTTTCGTTATCAGAGTCGCCTTTATCGTGGTCCGGTCTACGGGATAAAGCATCTGCTCTAACCATGGTCTTGCCTGGTTGATGTATTAGAGTGAAATCATATGCTTGTAGTTATAAGACCCAGCGTGCCTGACGTTGGTTGAGTTTTTGTGGCTTTCTGAAGTATTCGAGATTTTTGTAATCCATATAGATCTCGAACTTCTGACTGGCACCACGAAGGAAATTGTCCCATTCGTTGAGTGCAGTCATGATCGCCAGCATTTCTCTGTCATAGATTTCATAATTACGTTCAGCTGGGTTGAGACTTTTAGATAGAAAGGCAATTGGTTTCCATATATTAAAAATTTTGTTTTTGTGAGAGCACAGCTCCTAGTGCATATTTGGACGCATCACATTCCAGGCAATATGGATCATTATCATTAGGTACTGCCAGTACTGGTGCATCCGTTATGGCGTTTTTGAGGGACTCAAACGCTTCCTGTTGCTCTTGTCCCCATGTCCACTTGGCTTGTCCGGTGAGTTTGGTCATGGGTTGAGTTATGGCTGCAAAATCTTTTATGAATTTGTGGTAAAAGTTTGCGAAGCTGAGGAATTGTTGGATGTCCTTCTTATTGGCTGGCGTGGGCCATTGGGTAACGCCTTGGACCTTTTTAGGGTCCATCTGTACTGTTCCTTTTCCAATGATGTGTCCTAAATATTCGGTCTCTTGAGTCTCAAACTCGCATTTTTCTGGCTTGCAGGTTAATTTATGTTCTCTGAGAATTTCTAGAACCTGCTTGGTTCATCAAGATTTTCAGAGAAAATAAGTATATCATCAAGATATACTATACCTTTTCCTTGCATAATTAACTCCCTGAAGATGTTGTTCATCATGGTTTGGAAAGTTGCCGGTGATAAGCCTCAGGATCGTCTGACCCCCGAACACGCGGATTCAGCACATCATACAAGCGCCCCGGAGCTTATTCGACACAGCGCTCGCACGCCTCTAGGCTTCTATGGGCTCTAAAAGACTTTTTCTATTTAGCTCCGGACTTCCCAACATCCTCGAGGCGTACTCGGACCCATTCCGCGATTTATCTCCGCGCACCGAAGCTCCGGAGTGACTTAACCAATGCGACTTCTAGCTGAATTAGCTCCGGGACCCGCGGACACTTCTATCGAGGGGCGTCTTCCTCATGCCCACCCTCCAGCACTCACTCCCCCTCGTTTCCGTCAAGATACCGAAGGTGCGGATGCATACGAGTCACCATAAGGTCAGCATCAGTCAGCAAACGGCCGGAGGTAATTAACATGTGACCGGCGTGTCGCACGGAGTGATGGGACCGCTTGGGTCAGGTGGCGAAGCGTTGAGGCGACCTATAGGGGCTGGAAAGAGCAAGTGGGAGCGCAAGAGAGTCGTATGGTATATGGTATAGCGGAGGAAAGTGCTGAGCAATCCTGTGGGTAGCGGCGTTTATTTGTTATTTATCTCCGAACGGTCGCAAAGCCATTCCTGTAGTATAAATTGTACAAAGTAGCATACAGAAAAATAAGTTTCGACTTCACCATCTCAGAGAATTAGTGTTACGATCTCAGCGACCCGAGAAGTTCGAAAGCGTCAAACCTAGCGAATTATAACCGATCCTAGCTTTGCCAATAGGCCTGACTCGTCGAGTGAATTATCTCCGCCATCAATTCAATTAGCTCCGGTGAGTCTCACATAGCGAAATAAAATTAACCAAGTTTCTCTAGCAATTTCTACTCCCGTGGGCCCGAACCTACACTTGGTTTCGTGGTTTGCGACTTTGTCTGCGATTTTCCGGAGATAAATACGCCGGAGCGTCCCTTAGTGTTTGTTTCAGGCGTCAAGGTTTTGTTTTATTTTTCTAGGTCTTCCTACGGACTACCCTACGGCGTCTTACTCCTCCTTTCCCCCTCGAACTATTAAATACCCTTCAGTTGTCTCGGACCGCCTTCACCCATATCACGGGGTTTAGGTTTATTCCTTTTGGTCCTTGGTGATTGTTGTGTGTCAGTGCATATCACCGGACTATTGGTCAATCCGAAAAACATGATGAGCGGTTCATAAAGCCCCCGATTGGCGATAAAGGCGGCTTTTTCCTCATCTCCTTCCTTCATATGAATATTATTGTATCCCCAGCGAATGTCTAATTTCGTATAATGTTTTGCATTTTTTGATTTATTGATGAGGTCCGAAATGAGTGGTAAGGGGTATTTGTTTTTCTTTGTCATATCGTTCAACTTGCGATAGTCCTGAACGGGACATAGCTTGCAGTCCTTTTTTTGACAAAGAAGAATGGCGCCCCCCAAGGCGACTTGCTAGGTTGGATCCTGCCGGTTTTTAGGTTTTCTTCTAGGAATTCGTCCAGCACTTTCTGTTCATCAATCATCATTGAGTATACTTTTCCAGAATAGGGTTTGCTGCCTGGTAAGATTTCAATGATGTGGTCCCATGGTCGATGTTCCGGAAGCGTGTTGAATGTATCCTCTTTAAATATGTCACTGAATGGATGGTGATATGCACTGACACACAACAATCACCAAGGACCAAAAGAAATAAACCTAAACCCCGTGATATGGGTGAAGGCAGTCTGAGACAACTGAGGGGTATTTAATAGTTCGAGGGGGAAAGGAGGAGTAAGACGCTGTAGGGTAGTCCGTAGGAAGACCTAGAAAAATAAAACAAACAATTTGACACCTGAAACAAATGCTAGTTGACGCTCCAGAGTATTTATCTCCGAAAAGTCGCAAGCAACGACACCTGTCGTAGGATCGTGCCCGCGGTGGTAGAAATTGCTAGAGAGACTTGGTTAATTTTATTTCACTATGTAGGACTCACTGGAGATAATAAAATCAACGGCGGAGATAAATCACCCGACGAGTCAGGCCTATTGGCAAAGCTAGGATCAGTTATAATTCGCTAAGTTTGACACTTTCAAACTTTGAGGGTCGCTGAGATCGTAACAACTAATTCTCTGAGATGGTGAAGTCGAAACTTGTTTTTCTGTAC